ATTTCCAAATAAAATTTTTATTATGGCTTATTGTTTTAGGAGTTTCATAGCTCATTAAATAATATCAAAAACCAACCTAAAAGCTTTAGGAATTCTAAAAAAATTTATAAAAATCCTAAATAAATTAAACCACCATAAAAAAAATATTTCACAAAACTAAATAGATAATAACAATAAGTAAAAAAATAAAAATAAAAATTCCGAGCAATTGCAGTGTAGAAAATTGAGTCTGCGAGTCATGTTTGCGTCCACGACAGAATTGTACTCTGTAACATCTTGTTCTTTTTCCAGGTGCAATAAATGTAAGCTCTCATCATTGCATGTTAAGGTTACAAAAATATAAGATGTTGTTTGATATTAGTTATTAAGATGTTAGTGAAGGTTTGATGAAGGTCGAACTGTATAAAAATATACATGAATATATTTGAGATTCTAACATCTAATATGAGTCTACCGAGCTATAATTAAGTACTCTCTGTTGTCTGCACGACCAAACACGACGATGCATACATTGAATCCGAATTTTATATGATCCACTGCACATAATTCTACGAGTCAAAACCTTCATTTTTGTCCATAAGTAGCTAAAGATTGACGAAGTAATGCCTAATTCCGTTGGGGTTACGGCGTGGACCTTTGTTTCCTACATCTTGCCACGAGAGTCAGGACAAGCACTAAATTCCGAATATTCTCCACGTGTCGGTCTCTTTACTTGATATAATTACAAGGATTTATTAACGTTGGCAGTGTTTGTCTATGAAGTTGTTTCGTGATTTAAATATATATATTTTAATAATTTTAGATTATTTTGATGGGTTGGTGTTAAAAATAAATAAAAAATTATTTTAATTTTAAAATAAAAACTTTAAAAAACCATCTTTATCTTAATTTCAAAAAAAGGCTCGGCAAATAGATTAAAAATAAAATTTGGTAGAATTAGTTAACTTCTTTTATTCGAATTTAATTTGAAGCAGTCGGAAGTGTGAAGAGCTTCTAGACTCACAATCATGCCCTTCAAAGTCAAAATGAAAAGACTTGAGCCACGACCTTCATGCACAAAACGTCATGGTTTTATCAGATTTGATCTAATCCACGCGCCATGGGAGCTTTTGGTTTCCAGTTTCCCGCCGCATTAATGGCTCATTGTATATTTTCTTCCCTTAATCTGCCGTGTGATTTTACGAAAATTCTACGACAACCACCTGAAACAATAAATGTTTATTTGAATTAGTGAAATGGAGTTTAATTGTTTAACTTATCAGTTTGTTTTTAAAAATTATTAGTTTGAGTATTATAAAATTTAAATTATAAAAATTTTATATAATCATTAATTTTATAATTTTAATGAATTAATTAAGGTAGATGTTAGTTGGTCAAACACCTATAATTAAATAAATAAATGCTAATTTGCTGGTGATACTTTGTTATTAAAAAATAAGAAATAATGATTTTGATACCGTACACTGCTTTGTCAAACGATAATTGACTCTCAACACAGCATGAAATAAAAGGCTTGAAGGGAGCGTTGTGTTAGGTAACTTAATCAATGAAAAAATATTATTCATTTTCCTTCGAAAAGGAAAATGGAAATTTGAAACTCACACTCAAGTAGCGCTTGGATATATGCGATTCCAGCAGAAAAAGGACACAATCGTCTTGATTGGTTACACGGGGGTATCTGTGATTATAGTAACAGTTATTTTAAAGAGTTTTTTTTTTATATATTAAAATGATATACATTTTATTTTTTATAATTATTTTTTAAGCCAGTAAATCAAAATAATATAAAAAAATAAATTTTTTTCAAGTTTCTTTTTTAAATAATAATAATCAAACCACCCAACAAAGCACTCCGCAGAACCGAAAAAGGAGGCTTTCGTCGCGGGGCTTAAGATAGATTTTGGGTTGGGAGAGTCGAAGCGTAGTTTAGGCTGGTAAATTGGGCTTTCCAAAGTAAAGTGTAAGCTTTATCGTGCTAATTACATAAAAAAATACAAAAGGTGTACTCAGTGAGAGATTTGTTTCCTTCGTCTCCATTCACGAAAGAGAGAGATTCCACTCCTTACACCTCAGAACCTTCTAGCTTCTTGCTCTTCCCATTTTTACAAAGCAGGGATTGCTCGTCTAGTATTATCGGGTTTTTTTTTCCAACTAAGTAGGTGTGTGCTTGTGATATGATTTTGTTGCCTTCATGCCCACCCACGTGGCCCTATAGTCCTCAAGTTGCTTCCTTAATCCTTTGTTTTTTATCCTTTCACCTGCCCCTTTGTGTGAGATTTCAAAATTTGAAACACCGTACCCTCCCTTCAGAGATGTCCCTGACAGCCCCAAAGAATACAGAGGTACATGTTTATCATGGTTATATCAACACGCCTTTTAAATTCAAACCAAACGATGTTTTCACAACAGTGCCTCCCTCTCTGGCTTCTGTTCCCTCTTGCTTTGTTCACATGCATGTGCATTTATGCGGTTCCCATATATATATATATATATATATATATATATTAAGAAGCAGGATTATAAGAATAGCTTATGGTGAAAAGGGTAGCATTGTTTTTGTTTAAAATAACGCAGTAGATAGGAGAAGAAAAAAGGCCAATAACCACCATTACCGTGTTTGATTTGGACAGGACTGATAACGGATGGATCATGTCCGTTTGTACTAGGCCGAATAAAGGGGGGATTTTCAGGGATGAGGGGGATTTTCTAGTTCTTTCCTACTCTTTTTGTAAAATCTAATTCCATGAACTGTAAACGGTATGGACATCTACGAGCAAGGCCGCTCGGTAACCCAGAGCCTGAGATCTCAATAATTGACTCATCTTTGTTTAGGGGAGAAATATTAATAGTTGTTTTTGAAAATATTTTTTTATCTATAAATATATGAAAATAACATATATTTTTAGCATCCTATATCAAAACTTGTAAAAAATATAAAAAAAATATTTTGATATATAGCACAAGAAACTATATAACACAATTTCATAACACAAGATTATATAGCACAAATCAAATTACATGAAACTCGTTTATAACACAATTTCAAAATGAGTTTGATATATAGCACAAGATTCTGCAGGAAGCGATATCAAGGCAACAAATTAAAGGGCGATGGCATCGAGTGCCTTTTCGTCTGCATCATTATGCGATATCGATTCTTTTGGATTCGTTGTTGCCTGGTTGCAGTAATTATACACTCACATGGATTCCATTGTGGTTAATGCGGTGCCGCTTTGTGCAGGTTGTCCGTGGGGCTAGCAGTCGCCAGAAATCCCACCACCATTAAAAACTCTTTTATCATATGTTTGGATCCTTGCACGTTGTATGTATTCTAACTTTATATCTAGTTTTTATTGCTACAAGACATCGATGCAGAGGGCAGGCAATGACGTGGGTTGCAGAGATCCACACTATCATGGCGCATGACTTCCAGGGAAGAGATCAGATGGAGGAAGAGCAATCAGTCGGGGGATTTGTTCATTATAATTGTGAAATCTGCATGCTGATTCCGCATAAATTTCAAAATTGAAATATGACAGTTTCTAAAAATATTTTTTTTATTTTTAACATCAATATAATCAAAATAATTAAAAAATATTTAAAAAAACATGTATTAAAAACACACAAATATAATTACAAAAGCGTCTTCTTACTGCTCACAAAACTAATTTTTGGAAGGGACATTTCGACATTAACGGCATTACAACAAAATAATTGCTTGGAGTTTGCGCGTCTCCTGATAACCCAGGCCATCATTTGCGGTCTTCTAGATGAGGCAAACCTGCACCATGTAAAATAGGCCCATTCCAAAATGTTCTGTATGCTCGGAGGAAAATAAACTGGCTGCCTCAGAATGTCTTATCCCTTGCCTTTATCAAATGTTAAATAATTTATGTTTATATTCGATCTTATATCACACAAAGAAGAAGAAGAAGAAGAAGAAGAGAGACTAAGTATATGAAGAAGAAGAAGAAGAAGAAGAAGAAGAAGAGAGACTAAGTATATGAGGATAAGGCTCTTTTGTAGGCTAGGCCACACTCGATTGCTCAACTTTTACTCGGCTGGGCTTAGGTTAAAAACAACGTCAGCGGCCTCAAAGATGGCTTCACCCGGCCTGGGCTACATAACAAAATTATCTTAGTATCTAACGATCGAAAGGGAAAGAACTAATTGATTTTGGTGCTCCTGGAGAAATTTTCCCAGGGAAATAGTCGGAATATGTACACGGTGTGCCAGCAAATTGGAAGTTGAGCTCATTGTTCTATTCCACAATTGAGGAAATATGACCATGATAATTTAGTTAGCCTTTACAGTCCAATTATTTATTGATGAAATTCTATTGTAAGCAAATCAATAAAGAAAATAAAATCCGATCTCTCACTCGGAATTGGAGAGATTAAACAAAGATGATGCAAGAAGAAATAGGTTCTTCAGCATATAAATTTCTAAACCAGAGTAACTGGAAGGGTTAAGAGGGTTTCCACTATCATCGATCTTCAGCACACTTCCACTACGTACCCGATCATTGTTACAGGCATTGTCTCTCATTCTCATACTTCAAGAACATCAGCTAAGATCAAAGATTCAACATTTATCAGTTCTGTACTCCCTGTATTTCTCTTCTATCTGTTGAAAGTATCAATTTCATGGACACAGTTTGGCATTCATGCCTCCTGGTTAACTCTTCTCATAGAAACTCTTCTTAAAGGCGCACAATGGACGGTGGAGATACGGGGAGGGACTCTTGTAGACGATTCATGAAGGGAGATTGTGCTTGCTTGAAACACAAATAAGCCCCACAAGACTGTGCGCTATCCAGCTCGTTATAAAACAACAGTAAAGACTCCAAAAATATAAGGCTTGAGGCACAAGGGAAGTTAGTGAAAATATGGGGATGTGTGTGTGTGTGTGTGCGTGCGTGCGTGTGTATACTATATACAAGAGATCAAGAGAGTCTGTGGGAAGTGTACAAAGCACTGCTGATTGGTGAGGTTGCTTCTTCTACTACAAGGGAAAAAGGGCTTGACAATGACACTGCAACAAGAGCAAAATGTGAAATGCATGATTGGCCGGCAAGGGAATGTAAATGTGTCTTGGCTAGCAATAGTATTGGCCTTAAGTGCACCCCTGTCCAAGCAAACCATACAGTTCTTCTGTCTTATTCCCCTTCCTCCAATTCTCTCACCCGTACATGAGCCACACCCACTTTTCCAAATGGGGTGGCTGCAATCCCTCCTCTCTCCATTGAAGAAGCTGTGGTTTCGTCTACATTCAACTCCAAAGAAGAGTATGTTCTTCGCACCTATAACTGCATTTTCATGCTGTCTTCTCTATGTGCTATTTTCTGCACGGTATTTCTTTGTTATCTTAATTATTGTTCTTCGCTTATTAGAGAATGATCAAGCAACATCCTACCATTGGCACAGGACTTTCTTCATGGCCAATCTGTGTACAAATTACAGCTTCAGTACCAATATCCGAGCATCTTTCTCCTGGCATTTTCTTTCTCTCTCTTTTCTAATGATTCCATGTGAATTTAAAACCAGTTCTGAAGAAATCCAAACACCCAGATCCAATCTCCTTTTCATGTTTCTATAGAAATCGTTTTGCGAATTCTTTCTAACCCGCCACTAAAGACTCCTTCAATTTTATTTTATTTTAAGTGGCTGCATTTAATCAAACTTCATCCTAAATTTTATAATTATTTAAGTGCAATTTGTTGCATTTTTTTTGTTTCAGGAAGAGGGATATACATTCTGTACGAGGATGTAAAATCCTGCCAATATGAAGATGTGCATGTCCTATGGTCAATACTAGTGGAGTCACATACACCTTCCTTGCCGTCAAAACATTGAAGTCGTTCGCACGAACAAATTAAATTCCCAAGAAACTGAGAGATGTCCACTCATGTACATAAGTATTTATCTTGTTTTATAATCTTTTGAAAGGATTTTTGGTTTTCTAGTTTGCTTCTTCAGTTTCTTGTCATCTGGGATATATATCAGAGCATAGCTTTTCCTCAAAATTCGTGTTCTTTTTCTTTTTTTCTTTAAACTTTATGCAGATGGTTTACACCAACTCTGAATTAAAAGGCAATGGGTGAAAGAAGGCTCTATTTCTCTTCAGTTTGCTGTGTCATTTTTTTTCCATCAGTTTCCAGCAGTTGGGTGTAGCACTTTATTTCTTCTTTTCTTATCAACCTGAAGTTGACTCGCGAAAACTATAGAATGGATGGAGTAACCTACATGATGTTCATGTCTTTAATTAATTCTTCCACAAATATTATTAGCTATACGCTATTCCACCGCTGTTATGTTCATTCATTAATTTTGTCTTAAAAATCCTTAAGATAGTGGGGAGACTACTTTATATAAATGTGAATTACACCACATGGCATTTTAAAATTCAATCGTCATTATATTTTAAATGTAAAATGTGCATATAGCTTTGAATATACTAAAAAGATAGCACAGATTAGCTATCTTTGTCTAGCAAGTTAGAATGATTGTATTTAAAAGGTGCCTTCCATATTAAGACAAAAAAAGATTTGAACTTCGGAGGGAGGAAAGGTCGGTTGTGTGGGTGAGTACCTCACAATTGAGAATTTTCATATGGCTACTTGGGTGTCATCGTCACAAGAAGATCTATTAGCTGGTAAAGTTGCTAACGAGGAGCATCTTCATGTTCTTTCTAAGAAGTACAATGATACAGGCTGACTGAAATTTTTGATATCTTTAGTCCATTTCAGGAAGCACATATCCATGATATGTAGAAAATATGGCAAGTATTTGAAAACAATTCCAAGCCATTCTGCTGGTCCCGAAATCGGAACTTCTAGATTGTAGGCATTTATTATTGCTTGAAATGTTATTTCACTCGAGGGAAATTTTAAGCTTAGCGCATTAACAGCACCCCAAAAGTCGCAGAGTGTAGTCAACTATATTTCCCAGCCATGAACATATAGCATCATGCAGAAACGGAAAATTCAGGCAACGTAATCGTAACTTGAAGGAAATGCACAGGTTATTATCATATTGACCAGAGGGCCTGTGACAGATTGCACGGGCTCTTCTCGCTAAATATAGTATTTCGAAGCATTTATGACGTTCTTAATTATTGGAAACGAGTGCAATTACAAATAAAACCTCACAAGTTTGGAGGCTGGTGAAACATTGCCATCATTTAGCAACGATAATCACTTTCTAAGGATATTTTATTTGAAAATATATTAAAATAATATTTTTTTATTTTAAAATAATATGTAAACACAAAAAAAAAAAAATTCAAAGCTAAAAAAATTAAAAAGTAAAGTTGAAACGCAATACACAATACCAAACGAGATCATTTAATAACATCTGCCCTGCTCTGCATTTTTCAGTTAAAAGAAAGCAGAAAAATATTACAAGCGAAGCTAAATAAGATGGAACTCTTGCAAGAGTAATAATGAAGGGAAAAGGGGTCACTTATGGATATTTATATTATGGAATTCAGTAAACCTGCAGTGTCAGTGAGCAACCTTCGGACCAGCAGGATGAATCTACTCTCTTAGCCATTTCAAAACAGAATGCAGATTTCTTGGATAAACAATGATTATTTTCCCCTGGATAAGTCCAGTTAGGTTACACCACTGCCAACAACATATGCCATATGCAGACATTTTGGCATGGACAGCAAGCCTCGGGAGATATAGGGACAAGTTGAAGAAGTACCAAAGCATGATCATTCTTCAAACTAATACAAAGGAATCTTAATATTTAGAAAAGAAACCCGTAAAACTCACAATCCCTAGAACACCTATTGCCTACCTACCACAGAATTAGTAAAAGAAGAGAGCGTGAAAATCCTCACAAATCTTACTGCATGCAAGTTTCAGATTTCAATACTTGGAATCATGTTCGATCTTCTTCTCCTCGCTGCTTTATCAAACTCTCACATTTCACAGTAAGCTTCCGAAGTGTAATTATCTAGTTTAAGCACTGCAGGACTCAGAGGAAGCAATGGCATGAACTGATATGCAGTGGATGACACCAGCGATAAAAGCTGGAGAAATTAAGGGGTAACGAAGGCTGTTAAAGCAAACAATGTGTTACATGTTTTTGAATTATTCTACTATGAACACATTAAATCAAAGTGGAAACTACCATAGCTTATGATGCTATGCCATTATTTGATTTTATTGAATATTAAAGAATTGTTTGTTTTTGGATTTTAAAAACTTTTTTAAATTTTTTTTTATTTTTTATTTTAAATTAATATATTTTCAATATTTTTAGATCATTTTGATGCGCTGATATTAAAAATAATTTTTAAAAAATAAAAAAAATATTATTTTCATATATTTCTAAATAAAAATTATTTTTAAAAATAACTATAATTATATTTCTAAACATATTACAAGAGAGATGTTACTCTTTTGTTTTCAACATTTGCAAATTAAATGCAGCTGTGGTTTATAGGCATTGTTTATATAAAAAAAAGTTATAGCAAAAGAAGAAAAACTAATTATTTTTCCACACTTATAATGAATTCCTAACTGAGTATACTACACTAATTACTCAAAATTCTTAATTAGTGGAGATGATAAATTGTTAAAGGGTCCAAATGCAACTTAGTCCTTCAAGAAGACCAATAAACCCATTGCTAAAGAAAAATAACATTTTTCCTACCGATTAACAGAGGATACACAATGTCAGGGTAGAAGTATAAGTTCGTTCCAAACTTCCATTCTATCATGGCACAATAAGTTTTCAGTTATTGAAGCCATCCTCTGATTATTTAAGGAAATTGAAACAGTACATAGTTCAACAATGACATGAGGAAGTAATGTTCTGGCATGATTGTCTTGAGTTTTCATGGGATATTTGAGCGTGTGATAAATATTTTTTAAAGTATTTTTTATTTAAAAATATATTAAAATAATATTTTAATTTTAATTTTTTTTTAATATCAACATATAAAATAATCTAAAAACACTAAAATAAATTTAATTTTTTTTTTAAATTCAAACTCAATTCCAAACAATAACAATTAAGAATGTCTGTGTTTTGTTGTTTTCACTGGGCAATGATTCCAAGGATTACAAGGCTGCCGTTCTCCCACCTAGGTAGCCAATCTTTTTAAAGTGCAAGCGGCGGATTACTTATCTCTGCATGGAAGAGGCACCAAGGGGGTCGCAGAAATCTTAAACGAATTGAATGTATGGCGTTCATTATCCGGCCTGAGAATTGAGTTTGATGCACTTGATTAAATCAATTTATATATTTAGAATCTGTTTAAAGATTTCGATTTAAATTTTAAATGGAGTTTAATTAATAAGAAAAATCAAAATGAAATTAGACGAAAAACCCTCTAATTTGTTTTGAAAACTCATCAATCCCGTTAACATTAAAAATTATTTAAAAAAATATATCATCTATTTATTTCCCTCTAAAAACCCTAACTAGTATTTTTTCTTTCCACACTCTTTTCTCATGTCTTCTTCTTAAAAAAAGAAAGAAAAGCTTTGGTTTAAGAATACCTGAAGTCTATAATTTAAGAAGGCAGGCCTCTCGAGCGCCAGCGACTGTTCCTGAGTAAACACTGCAAATCCCATGAAAGACTAGGTATAGGTTGGCAGATTATTTACATTTTTGTTTTTGCATTTTAAAACTTTTTAAATTTTTTTTTTCATTTTAAATTAATATTTTCATATCATTTTGATAGATCAATATTAAAAATAATTTTTTTTAAAAAAATAACAGCTGTTAAATACTTTATATAGGTGCATGTAAAGACAAATTTCTATAAAATTGTATCCCCAAGTTGTGTCGGGTAAGGAGCACATCAATTATTGGCATCAAATTGCAGGAAAAATCCATCGGTCTGTAAAACCATAAGTCTGCTATTCAATTTTGATACAGATTAACCAGTGTTCGATGTCACAAGAGACCAAATCAACTGGGGACAAGTTTTGGTATGGGCATGTCATTTGTTGGATCTATATGATGAATCAAAAGAAAGAAAATAACTATGGATCCCACAAAATCATTTATTCACTTAAAATCTCATAAATGTTGCCGATTCATTGAGTGAGTGGGGAGGAGAAGTTTTTTTGGATTTTATGTTGTTTGTTTTTAAAAGTTCACGTGTTGGAAGGAAGGAGAAGGCAAATAAATGCATTGCACTCAACAAAAATGAGAGATAGCGGGAACTTTTTTAATAGTGTTTTATGAAATTAAAAAATAATAATTTTTTAATGTTGCTCCCCCACGTTTATGCCGCTAATTACCCGTATACAAAACAATCAACTTCGTGGATAAACCAAAAAAATATACATCTACTATTTAACAATGATCGAATTGTAATTTCTCACTGCAATGTGAATCCAAAGGCATTATTTTTCAGGAATGAAAAATGAGATCTTTAACATTTCTATAGGTACAATTAAATCCATTGCGGTCCAAAGAACTCTCGTCAAAATCCCTACACTATGTGGAGATTCGATCCATTCGCCTCAGAGGAAAGGGAATAGCCCTTTCTTTTCTCTTTTTTAAGTATCTTTTTATTGTATATATTGTATTTTCATAATGGTTTATTTTAAACTCTATATTGTATTTTTCTTTAAAATATTTTTAAAAAAATTATTTTTAATATTAACGTATCAAAACAATTTTAACCAACTAATTTTGTGCGTTGAAATGAAAAAACTTCCCCCTGCCATTGTGTAATCAATAAATTACTTTTTTAACCACTTAGCTGATACTTGATATATATATTACAAGGAAACTGCTCGAATTTGAGATCATAATTTTGGGAGAAGAGGTTAGGAGGACATAACTGTCATTAGGCTACAACCTAGCTAATAGGCAATGTTTATAGGTCAAGAACAGGGGAACAGGATGAAGATGGATTAAAAACGTCACTGTAAATTTTCAAAAGAAAAGAACTGTTGCTAGTGAATAGATGAAATCCTGTTTTGGGTGTTAGCCGATTTTTAACGTTTAGGGGATTATGATTTTGCACCATCCACGGTGGTTGGAGTTTAGGTGCATCTCAAACGCTAGGTAAAACGTGTCAAGAGCACAATGGATCTTTCCTATTTTCGTGCACAGAGAAGATTTGTGTATACCCCAGCCAGATCATAATCTAGCCACGGAAATACTGCGATAATATTACGAGAGAGGTTGGTGTGTGTCCTTCTGAGATCGATGGGGTATTTACTTGATCACTGTGTTGCTTGTAATGCTTGATGCTGGTCTTTTCTCCGTAGTGGATGATGATATCTTATAATACAGCATCTGCAGGGAAGAGATTATTTGATTTTGGAGAGTGGCTAATTAAATTGCCGGTTAATATTTCTTTCTTCTTGAACCATTAAATATAAAATTAATGATAGAATTCTTGATACTTTTATCATGCTGTCAAATTTAAAGGTAATAGGTTTAATAGCTTATATATTCATGATTTTTTGGATTGAGATTATAACTAAAATTGAGTATATTGAATTTGATATTTTATAAGATTTATAATAATTTGAATTTAACTTGCGATTAAACTAAAATGTATCGAGTCTAATATTTTATCATACTTATAATGATTTAATGTTTATTTAAAAATATAGTTGTGGTTGTTTTTCATGTTAAAATATATAAAAATAATATTTTTTATTTTTAAAAATTATTTTTAAGATCGGTAAACCAAAACAATAAAAAACATATAAAAAAATTATTTTTTAAAAATACGGTTTGTATTGTATTTCTAAACAGTTTCTTTGTTAAGATGATAACTGATTAAAATGTGTAAAAACTAAGGTTTAATTTAAGTATATTAAATCTAGGGCCTTCCTACAGCTATATTCAATTTAGCTGAAATCTTATTATGGGTTTGGATTGCATAGAAATATGAAGTTGAAAATATTAATTGGTTAGGTACTGAAACAATACTGATTAAGAAAAAAAATAAAATCAACGATCATAGCAAGCGAGGTGAAAGGAAAAGAATAATCCCTTGACAAAATCGTCACCTAAGATATCTTCGATTACCAAATTATGTTTCAATCGACATAGATAAAGAACATTTTAGATGCTCCATGCCACGAAACTTGGATTGCACCCATGTTTACCGGCCAATAACGTAAACCAAGGACAGCAATTCTCTTTCTCAAGAGGGATTACGTGCTTGCTGGTGTCATTAAACACCTTTTGGTGTATATCGTTGACATAGCACAAGACTAGTGGCGTTGGTTCCACTTTTGCCCTGTAAAGTTACAGAGACCTCTTCGATCTTTAATGGGCCCATATAACTTTTCAAACACGGTTCTCTGACTAAACCTTTCTGATACAAACGAATCGGATGCATGAGTGAACGGAGTGGTCTACCAGAACTACTAGGCTGCAATGATTTTGTGGCTGCAGTGAACTGAGGTTGACACGCAAATACCGTTAAAATATTTGTTTTTTAAAAAAATTGTTCTGAAAAAAATTAATATTTTTTAAAATTAATTATTTTTTGGAGTTTTTATATATATAGCAATATAAAAAATTATTTAAAAAAAATTATTTTAATATACTTTTAAATAAAATAAACTTTAAAAAATAACCGAAGTAACAATCAGAATTTACTCAAATATCTACAGTCTCTTGGCCTTCCATTAGGTGCCCTCTTTGCCTTTGGTGTTAGTGTGTCGTGTCAGCTTGTTCTAATCGCTGACATGCAACGAACGCAACCAGATGTACTACGGACTTTGATATTTCAAGGGACCTTGGAACTTTCTATCTTAGAATAGTACTAGCTATTAGACACGTCCTTTTGAACAAGTTAGGTAAATTTTATTTTTAAAAAACGAACATATAATCTTTTTAATGTATTTTTTATATAAAAAATTATAACTATAGAATAAAAATGTACTATATAGAGTTATTTCTGCAAATAAAAAATATATTACAAGATTAAATTGCATATTAATTAATAAATTTAATCTTGCAATATGGATCATGTATTCAATTCAATAATGTTTAATAATTTTTTTAAAATTAATATTTTATTTAATAAAAAATAATTAGAAAAAACATTTAATAAAGTAATTGAATAATTTTTTAAATTAAGCAGGTCTATGCAAAAAAAAATTAATATCATAAAAAACAATTGAAAATTTAATCATAAACCAAGTAAAAATTCAATTGCATTACGTTAAAAAAACATCATAATTTTTTAAAAAAACTTGTTAGAATAAAAAAATAATAAAAACTCAATATTAAAGTATATAATTAGTAAAACTAATAATACAAAAAAAAAAAAATCAATGAACCATAAGAAAAGGACTCGGGATCACACAGGGCTAGCCCAAGTAGCCCATCACTTTTGAGCCTAAAAAAACCCAATCGAGCTAGCCCTCTAGCCTAGGGTCGTGTGCTTAGGCTGTCTTGGTGAATTGAAGTGGTTATAAAATCATAAATTCTCCTAAAAATTAACCCCAACACTCAATAAACTCTGAAATGATTTTAAATAGTAAAAAAACGAATTCAAAAACTCATAAGTAAATAAAAATATAAAAGCTTCCTGCTTGGATCTACCATCCCATGTGATGGGATAGCAAGAAAAAAAATACAGGTAAGACTATTAATGTTGAATATAACTTAACCTTTTCTTTTATTTCTCATACTAAAAAATAAAAAATAAATAAAATACAATTTTAGATCAAAATTAAATATGTAAAAAATTAAAAAATTGAAATTTTATAATTTGTAAGGCAAATAATAGTAAAAATAAAATTAAAAAGAACTGCAAAGTTCTTGGTTCTACCATAAATATTGTTTACATCTAACATATTGTATAATACTTCATAGCAAGCAGTGATCATCGTACGAGAACTCAATAGACAGGTTTGTGATTAAGGAAATTTTGCTATTTTACTTTGCTTCTTGAATTTGGATTTTGTGATCAGCATCCAACTAAATTTATTAATTTAAATGCACTAAATCATTATAAAAATTATGTTTTTGAGATTATTTAAAAAAATATTAAACCTCAATTAACGCTTAGCCGATTCAATAAATCTAAATTGTCATTGTCGAATATAATAAAAAGACAGATATACCCTCATCTTCATTTTTTCAAGATTTTGATTATTTTTTGAATGAATTTTTCCTGTCCATGTACTATTTCATTTAGAAACGACATAGTACTATCCCAGTACCCTAATAACCTCACAATCCACCTTGGAGTCTGGAGATATTGTGAGGTGGTGAAGTTGACGAATCATCTACTCCGACACGCTTTGTACAATGACAGCACATCATTGTTGTCGTTCATGCTCAAAAGTAGTTCATAGCTCGTGGTTTACGAGGAAACAAATAAAAATTGAAAATTGCTTTAAATAGCGAAATAAACATCAAACCTTTTAAAAGCATCCACATGACTGATCTCATATTGGCATGTACATGTTGACTCCATGCCATGATCTCCGACGACAAGACATCGCCCTAAATTAATAACCCAACCAGATAACCCGACGCTGCCTTAGGTGTTAATTAAATATGAGATCTTCAATTGAGAATATATATATATATATATATATATATATAGTGTGACTCAAGATTTATCGTACAATAAAAATAAGGGCTTCCCAAATTGCCAATTACTTGTCTAAGTAATAAAAGGATATTAAGGGGTAGTTTAATTAATTATATTTTGATTTTTTTTTTAATAATTACATATTTGAGTCATTTTAAAATTATTATAGGTTTATATAATTGTGTTTATAACTCGTGAATTCACTATACATTTAAATTAATCTGGACATTTACAATTAAAAAAAAAAAAGAAGAAGGAGGAGGATGTAGGGGTGGAAGGATCTTACAAATAAACACCAAATGACTCAGCGCTAACATGAAACTGTAATCTTTACAGGTAAATGGTACCCGCAACGGAAAAAAAAAAAAAGGTAATATAAACAAATATAAAGCTTCATAAGATATCCATGATGCAAAAATGACCTTTCACCAAAAATTTAAAATCCCAGTTCCCATATTTTCTTCCACAAACAAACCTTCTAGAAAATAGATACAGAAGAAAAACATGGTTGGTCCAGGTTGATGCAAGCTGTTGCAGGATAGAGAAAGTCTAGGTCTTGCAGCCTGTGACGAGATGGAGATCGGAGAACCAAGGCATGCATTTGCATAGAAAGATAGCGTCAACCAGACAGGGCTGTTTTGTTGGGTTCTGTCCTTCAGTCTGACTGTAGTAATTGTTATTTTTTAATATGATTTTTATTTAAAAATATTTTAATATATATTTTTTATTTTTAATACAGCACAAAATGATTGAAAATTATGAAAAAAATTAATTTAAAATATTTTAAAAAAAATTAAAAAAATATTTTGAATGAAAACAAAGAAAAGTCATGGTAGTTGGCTTTTAACCTTGTCCTTCTTATGGACTCACCGAGGCACTAACTGCACTTGTGACTTCCTCTTTTTTTCAGTCACTAAATATTTTTTTTTTTTTCATCTTGTTTTAGTCTCTTTCCTTCACAAAAAAAAAAAATAATAACAATAATATTTCTGCTCTTCAGTTTTTTTCGACTACTATTAATACCGTGGAGAACCAGCAAGGTATACTTCCTTCGTTCTCTCTTATCTGCTTAGAAATTTTGCAGAGCTTTAAGGATATATAGAATGAATGGCCTTACAAGTCTCGAAACAGATTACTTGGAGTTTGTTGAAGTTGATCCTACTGGCAGATATAGAAGAGTAAATATACATTCACGCATACCCTCTTTCTTGCATGTTGTCATCAATATTTGGAGTTTTGAGTCTCACATAAATGTCTTTTCTCTATGCTTTCTGCAGTACAATGAAATTCTTGGCAAAGGAGCTTCAAAGACTGTGTATGGATGTTTTCTTTTTTGGGTTTTAATTTGTGGTTGGTTTTCCATTTAAATGTGAATCCAGTTTTTCTGAACGCGATGGTTTCTATTTTTGTCTATTGCGTTGCAGTTATAAAGCCTTTGATGAGTATGAAGGAATTGAGGTAGCTTGGAATCAGGTGAGGCTCTGTGATTCCCTCCAGAGACCTGAGGATCTTGAGAGGCTTTACTGTGAAATTCACCTACTCAAGACTTTAAACCATGAAAACATCATGAAATTTTATACTTCTTGGGTTGATACTGCTAACAGGAACATCAACTTTGTCACTGAGATGTTCACCTCTGGTACTCTAAGACAGTAAGCACTGTTCAAGTTTCAAGAAATTTAGTCTTTCATTCTTGTTAGTTTGCTTATCCGGGTGATTGAAATTCATTAATTGTTATTCAGTGTGGGCACGTTTCATTCTTTTTTTTTAATTTCATTTTTTTCTGCGCAGGTATAGGCTAAAACACAGGAGAGTAAATATTAGAGCCGTCAAGCATTGGTGTAGGCAGATACTGAAGGGGCTTCTCTATCTTCACAGCCACGACCCCCCTGTTATCCACAGAGATCTCAAGTGTGACAACATTTTTGTTAATGGTAACCAGGGAGAAGTCAAAATTGGTGATCTTGGCCTTGCTGCAATTCTTAAGAAATCCTACGCTGCTCACTGTGTTGGTAAGTTCAATTCTAGGTTTCTCAAATTCCTTCTAAGATCTAATCTCATCCTTTGGTTTTTCAAACTGAACACTTGCATTCGGGCTATGCCTTTTTACACTTTCCCGTGCACACATAACCACTGTTCAATCAGAAATGCTTGCAGACGATTTTTCTAATCCAGAGTGCTTAAATTAAAGTAACTGCTGAAGCTTCTTCAATGTAAGTATATATTTGAGTTTATTTTATTACCCAGGAACACCAGAATTCATGGCTCCAGAGGTGTACGAGGAGGAGTATAATGAATTAGTTGACATCTATTCTTTTGGGATGTGTGTCTTGGAGATGGTCACCTTTGATTATCCATACAGTGAATGCAACCACGCTGGTCAGATTTATAAGAAAGTCGTATCTGTAGGAACTACGAACTCTTCAGTTTTTTTGCTGATCCAATTTATCTTCATTACTTCATTTTACAATTTCTTATTTTCATGTAGGGGAAAAAACCTGATTCTTTGTTCAAAGTAAAAGATCCTGATGTGCGGCAATTTGTTGAGAAATGTCTAGCAACTGTGTCCGCTAGGCTCTCAGCCAGAGAGCTTTTAAATGACCCTTTTCTTCTAATTGATGATTGTGGATTTGATTTGAGACCAATAGATTATGACCAAGGAGACTTGAATGGAGCAGGTCCTCTCGTGACACAACCTCTCTATGGAATTCATTGCAGCAACAGCTCTTTGACCAATGGTTACACTGATTATCTGGGTTATGATCTTGAGAATGAAATAGAATACCATCAACTTGAGCTTGAGACAAGCCCAATTGATCTTTTCATCTGTCAAGAGGATGAACATTTGGGAAATGTTGACATTGCAATTAAAGGGAGGTGGAGAGAGGATGATGGCATCTTCTTGAGGCTCAGGGTTGCAGATAAGGAAGGTAAGAGAAATTTCAAATTTCTAGACCATTATTGTGTTTTGACATAGATGTTGACTGAATAATGCAGCATAAAAATCATACTGACACTGTAACTTCTCTAAGCAGGCCACATACGAAACATCTACTTTCCATTTGACATTGAGACTGATACTGGATTTAGTGTTGCGACTGAAATGTTCGATGAGCTTGGTATTACAGACCAAGATGTTTTGAAGATAGCAGACATGATCGATGGTGAAATCTCAACCCTAGTACCGGAATGGAAGAGGGGGCTGGGAATACAGCAAAGTCCACAGTGCACAGATGCAAGTTTTTGTCAGAATTGTGCTTCACATGGTAACCTCCTGGATTATTTTTCATCAAACAGTTCAGGCACCAGGAACCTGGAAGTCCTTCCGTGTTCTAAACATGGATGTGCAGCTGTGCACGGGCGGTTCGAGGAAATCACATATCAAGTCAAAGGCCCTGAGCAAAGTACCATTACTGATTGTGCCCCTGTTTCACCAAGCCAATCTACAACAATCAATTGTACTGACATTTGGGCTCAGCGAAATGCACCCAATTCACAAGGATCTAGAGAGATTCATTGTGGGCAGGGTCACATCGCGACAAACCACACAATCTTTGAGGAGCAAGAAAGAATAGTAAACATGGACACTCATAGAGAATCCAGCGCAAGAAAATCTACCTGCGAGAATCCTTCAGCATTTAGCACCGCTTACTGGGATGATTATGAGAACGAAATTAGGCAAGAATTAAGATGGCTTAAAGCCAAGTATCAGATGCAGTTAAGGGAGCTCAAAGACCAACAGTTGGGAGTCAAATCAAAAACCTCAAGCCTGAGTCCTAATTCACATAACATGGAGCACCAGAAAGGTAACGTGCTTTCTCTGCCTTTGATGTTGCCTAAAGAAAAGAGAGGAAGCAATGAAGCTGCCCTGAAGTTTCTTTCCTCTGCCAAGAATTTCACTTCTTATTTTCCTACAGATGCTGATGAAAGATGTGCTGACTCAGCAAATACAGAGGTCCAAAATTGTGAGGAAATCAACAAGGCGTTCAGCCCCGAGCAAATGATCACGGCTAAGAATTTCTATGCGGGAGCTTTGCTTCCACATACCCTTCACAGGGCAACTTCCCTTCCTGTTGATGCTGTAGATGTCTAAATATATTTTTGTGATTTTCCTAACGAACCGGTAAAGATGAATTTAAATAAATATTACGGTTATGAATTGAAATATCAATTAAAATTTTATTGAAGTTCCCAACCATAACATCCAAAAACGTGCAAGTTCACCAAAACTTTTAATCTCTCTATTATTTCACTATTTATTTGTATTTTACATGCCAATTGCCCACCTCTGAACTCTAAGCCTGAAGTCTTGAATTCCCAGAAGTTCATGATTCATTTTAATGAAATCATATTGTGCCCCCTGCCTCTACTTTTCTCTCACATAGTCAGATCCGTGTAGGATAGATTGACTCACGGAGCAAACTGAAGTGGAATGGTCCCATGCAATTTGAGCGTTCATATACCTCCTACCTAGTAGCAGGCATATGCTTCCAGCGTGATGTACTGGGTGATCACAAGTTGTCAACTTGAGCGGGACATATCTGAAGGATGTGTGACTGATGCAATACAGCACTATTCCAATGGGCAAATATGCCTGCCTCATGTCATTATTGCGACCTGCAAATACCTTGCCTCAGTGCCAGCGTGTGGAAGAAAGCAAAAGAAAAACTACCATGCTGTGGTTTTACTCCGTTAGTTTTAGTCCTCTTCACGTCAGTTAGTTGATAATGTAAAAGTCGTCAAACTTTTGATCTTCTTCTAATTACGTGCCGATCCTTTGATTTCAAGCAGTTGAGTGTGACGACCCTCAACCCTCTAACCTCCTGCATACGATAACGCACCAGTATTCTTACATTTTTACGATACAATTACTTAAAGTGCATGCGAAAAATTGTAGAATGCTCATAAATACATGAAATGTCCTTTTTTTGTCATCGGGGGGTTTTCTTTTCGTGGCATTGAAAGTGTTTTCGTGGTTTAGAAAACAGTAAGAGCATTGTTGAATTTTCAAGTCGAGGCTAAGATAACACAAGTAGATCGGTTATTATAAATTGAAGGATTGGGACTAAATTACAACGAATTATGAGTTTGAGGGCTTGTATCACAGTATTAGCAACATCATTGATAGTAAAAGGACAGATGGAGCTAACGCAGGAAATCAGAGTCATTTTCCCCCTTCTATAAAGTAGCTAATGATGTAGGAATCCATTCGAAAGAAAAGAAAATTCCATCCTAAAAAAAGTATGAACTTTGAACTTTCGCTTTTGGAAACTTGTAGATTTGTGTCATGGCGGCATTCCAAGCATGGAAAAACTTGAGCAGTAGAAAAGTTATCCAGCGCGGACACAGCTTTCTTTATGACTTCTCATTATTGATCTTTTTTAAAAGCTAGCGCCCTCCCCACCTAACTTTTCCATGTAGAATTCAATGTAGGATGTTTTTTTAAAAAAAATATATATTAAAATAATTTTTTTATATATTAAAATTTATTTTTAATATTAATAAATTAAAATAATTTAAAAATGCTAAAAAAATTAATTTAAAAAATTAATTTTTTTAAAATATTGTTAAAACACAGAACAAATATAATTAATGCCGCATCCCATCCCCCCACTTTCTCACTTATGGCTCTATGACTTCTTGCTGGGTTTACATGGGGCTGTATGACTACGAAGCCTATAACGTGCCCAATAGTCGCCCATTAATTGGAACCTGCTACCCATAAATGTAAATATCTGTCCTTCAGAGCACGTACCATAGTTGTCATCTGTGGAAATTGGAGGCTTCACATATCCACCTAGTTTACAGAAACCAAACTTGCAGCTCGATTTCGGTACTCTTAGCTTGAGAATATCAGACACTATTTATCTAGGATGAAATATCTCTACCGAGGGATATGGCATGGAGTTGCAACCGTGGCTTGTACTGGGCACACTTCTCGTTTTCAAGTTTGATTGCTGAAATTATTCTTCTCTAGTGAATAAGCTACATGATTATTTTACACCTTATTCTCTGTTATCTTTATCTGAATATAATACTACGTACCCCTGCAAATAGCTTTTAATCAGGACTCTCGATTTCAGAAATTAGAGCTTAAAAACAAATATTTTTAAGAAATTCCTGCTCAGACAAGGTATTATTCTCTGCCTGCGGAGTCCATAGCACCTCGACAGCCCATATAGAACAATGGTAACGTATATAGATACAAGGTAAACATAGTGGACAATACAATATTTAGGATGTCATTATTGTTACCTCGAGTTCTTGTGCATCGACGTTCAAAGATCGCAAGGCACCTTTGATTTCCTCTGTGAATGAAGATAGGTAGTTTAAAAGTGAAGAGTCAAGGTAACAAAACTTGGCTACATATATGGCACCGAACTGTTAGTGGGATACATGTGAAATTAAACGGGATGGTCGAATCAAGTTACAAGAACAAAAACTATCATCCGAATATCATCCTTTGTTATCAGATTAATTTCTCATGTTTGCCCGAAAAGTACCTGAAGTTCAAAACTATGAATATGATACAAACATGCCCCGTGTAGAGCTTGTTTATTTGGAAAATAGCAAATCAAATGGTAAGCCTACAACAAATTTCCTAACTGTCGTCTTATTCGCAGAAATTGTGTCTAAATGAGGTAAGAAGACTTTACAGGCAGATATATACAGAGTGAAGTTTCTTAGCACGTAGAGGTGTCAAACATATCCTAGAACATATTGTAATCAATCCTATAAGTGGAGGAGACTCTTGACATAACGAAAACATCTTCCTACTTGCAGTGCATTGCGTTCCCAAACTAAAAATTGCCTTTCATCAAAGTTTCGAACAGATGCCTTCATCAGGTCATAAAATCCGGCCTCAAACGTGGGTACTTTTGGAGAAATCCCTGCTCAGACAATGTTTCATTTTCAGCCTGCGGAATCCAGAGCACCTCTACAGCCTATCACTATTGAAAAATAAGCCTTTTGGCATCTAACTAGTACTCTGTTGTTGATAAATTTCAACAACAAAATTAGTAAAAAATAAGTTTATTAGAAACTAATTAGTCCGTTATAGATAATATTAAAATTTATTATTGATAAAATTTGGCCACAAAATTAGCAGCAAATAATTTTAAATTCAAATAATAAATGCTAATTTTTTAGTAATGGTTTATCAGTTACTGATTTGTTTAGTAATCAATTATTCGTTGCTACAATTTTGTTGTTGAATATGTAAATTAGCAATGAATATTTTGTTGTTAATCTGTTAATGATTAAATATTCTTATCCAGTTTAATTTCAATTTCAAAAATTTAAAATTGATTACGCCAAAATTAAATCTAATATATAAAAAAGTTAAAATATTAATATTTTTATTAACCCAAAATCAAACTCATATTCCCACAATCTGTCATCTTTTGTATTTTTGCTGCCTGTGTTCTTTCTTCGTGTCCGTTTATATCGCAGGGCAGGGCGACACTAGGTTGGTTGAAAAGAGCGGGGCCAACCGAGACCCTTAGAGAAAGCTTTGCTCAATACTAAGGAAATTTTTATTCTTATCTCTCATTGATTTCTATTATAATCCCAAATCAAAATCAAAAACATCCCTAATCTCTCTCTCTCTCTCTAAACTACTTGTACAGAAGAAGTTTGGAAGTGTAAATTAATTGGAGAAGAAGTTAAAAAAATAATAAATTATGTTGTGAAAAATAAAACATGACAAAAATAGATAGAATTGAAAGGGACATCAGGGTTTGGTTTCTTGAAAAGGAACAAAAAGGGAAATAAGGGTTAATTAGGTTTTTGTGGAGAAGCATAGAAAAGGACAGTATTGGGTTCTTTTAGAGAATAGAGAAATTTTGCAACTGTGGGGTTCCTTTTTTTTTTTGAAGAAGTAGAAAAAGGGTCATTATTATTTATTATTATTTTTTATAAAAGTCAAAATTTAATCTTTTTTTTTAACAACAACCATATTAGTTATGGCAAATTCGTTGCTGATTTTTAATATATTAATTTATTTTTTAATATTTGATTTTTCATTGCTAATATTAAAATAATATATATATATATATATATATATAATTTGTTGATAATCTATTGCTAAAATTGTATTTAAATTATTCTGATACTAATCACCCTCTTTTCTAGTAGTATATATAGAATAATAGCAATGTATATCATATATAATGCACATATAGGATAGATAGGAGGCCCAAATTGAAAAGTGTTGTATAATGGATAATATAATATCTAAGGTGTCATTGTTATCACCTCAAGTTCTTGTGCATCAACATTCAAAGATCGCAAGGCGCCTTTGATGTCCTCTGTGCTTTTAATAACAGGAACTCTGTACATATTGTTATTAGTCACTAGGATTGTCACCTGTGAATTGATGTCAGGAGAAAAATATGCAGAATAATAAAAAATACAGATATTTTAAACTTTCAACATATATTTTGCAAGAGGTCAAGTTAACAAATAAGAGCCATCTAAATATAAGAATAAAAAATTATGAGTGGCTTCTGTCCAGCGCACACATCACTTCTTTCTTGGATAACAAATATCCCCTTATTTTTCTCACAACATCATTTTAATTCCATTTGAAGGAGGAAGTAGAAGATTTCACCACAAGAAGATCTACATACATATAGTCTAATAATGTTTATCAATGATAGTTTAGAAAGGAATGATTCAGTAGACATTTTGGAGTATTAAATAATGTTTGGTTTATACATGTTTTTGTTTCACTTGAAGCTACAATGAAGGTTATTTTTAAGTTAACAATATTCGTGATACATAACTTTCTTGATCCATTAAATAACCACTTAAAATAGATTTAGTAACAGTAGAAAAACGAAAGAAAATGAGAGTTTTCCCCTATAGCAGTGTTTAATGATCATATTCCTTTTATAGAATTTGCATCTAAGGGTTTGTTGACCATGTGCTTCTAAAAAAATAAAAACTCTAAGGTTCAGAAGCTTATGTTGCTCTAATCGATCAATCCAAATCCATCCTAGAAAGTATTTAATTGACATGTGGTACTTTGAAAAGGATAAAGTATCACAAACAAATAGTTAGCTTAGCATGTCAAAATAAATAAGGAAAGTAATCGATTTGTCAAAGGAAGTA